ATAAACTAAGATCTGAATACTAGGTGAGCTTGTTGTTACTGGGGATTATTGCTGCTGAGTCCTCTGAGCTACAGAACAAGGACTATAAATATATGATACTAGTCCTTGTATATATACACATCTATGAATATTTCTATATACAACTGTCTGTATCTATGTCAAGCCAAACATGAATCTGTACACTTGTATTAAAATCTAACCCACTACTGCACTATGTGAATAATTGTTCTCTTCTTCATATTTTAGAGAGCGATTGATTGATGTTTCTCACAAATAGGTAAATTTAGATTGAAGTTCAATTTTTTTTCAAAAAATGAATTAATAATAACATTAATAGCAGAGTCAATAGTAACTCTAAAAGACATAATCTTGAACACCATAATTTCAAATGACGAAGTCCTGGAAACCACAATTCCATGTGCAAAGGGGTGGAGAGGATTTATAAAACAGATAGGAAGCCAAATGCTGAGGATGAGATTAGTCCATTTTCAGTTGTACAATGGGTAGTTTTCAAATCATTTCATTGTGCATTATTTCTGTGCCTTTACACACAGCTCAATGCTTAACTTAAAAAATCCCTTTTGTCCAAGAATAAAAATTTTACAATAATTCAGCAACCTTCAGAATCAAACATACTGCCTGAGATACACATACCTCCAGTGTCACAAAACACATTAAATGGCGAATTTCACAATGGAAGGCAGCAGATATATTTACCAGTAAATCAAGCATTTAACAAAAGTGTACGCTTTACTTTAGCTAATAAATGGCATTTCCAAAATGCCACTGTTTTAATCAAATGTGTTCTTCATACATCTGTTGAATGTGAAAATTTTGGAGCTTGTTTGCTCATCTCTGAGTCAATGCCTGCGAAAACTATAAGTGCTTATTTGAAGATTTGATAGATATTGAAAAAGAAAACAGATTTCAATAAAAAATACAAACTATAGGCTCTCTGCTCCTATGCACCCACAGACAGCTGTTCTTCCCATGCAGCAAGCAACGACCCAGACAAGATGGTGAAGGTTGGAGTGAATGGATTTGGCCATATTGGACACCTGGTCACCAGTGCTGCTTTTAACTTGGGCAAGGTGGATGTTGGGCCATCAACAACTCCTTCATTGACCTCAACTACATGGTCTACATAATCCAGTATGATTCCACCCATGGCTAGTTCCACGGCACTGTCAAGGCTGAGAATGGGAAGCTCGGCATCAACGGAAAGGCCATCACCATCTTCCAAGAGCGAGATCCCGCCAACATCAAGTGGGCTGATGCTGGCACTGAGTACGTGGTGGAGTCCACTGGTGTCTTCATCACCATGGAGAAAGCTGGGGCTCACCTGAAGGGTAGTGTCAAAAGGATTATCATCTCTGCCCCTTCTGCCAATGTTCCCATGTTTGTGATGGGTGTTAATCATGAAAAGCATGACAACTCTCTCAAGATTGTCAGCAACGCTTCCTGTATGACAAACTGCTTAGCTTAGTTGCTTAGTTGTCATCCATGACAACTTCAGCATTGTGGAAGGACTCATGACCACAGTCCATGCTGCCACTGCCACCTAGAAGACTGTGGACAGCCCCTCTGGGAAGCTGTGGGGTGATGGCCCTATGGCTGCCTAGAACATCATCCCTGCATCCAATGGTGCTGCCAAGGCTGTAGGCAAGGTCATCCCAGAGCTGAATGGGAAGCTCACAGGCATGGCCTTCTGTGTGCCCACTCCCAACTTGTCGGTGGGGGATCTGACCTGCCACCTGGAGAAAGCGGCTAAATATGACAACATCAAGAAGGTTGTGAAGCAGGCATCAGATGGTCCCTTCAAAAGCATCCTGGGCTACACTGAGGACAAGGTTGTGTCTTATGACTTCAATGGTAACACTTACTCTTCCACCTTTGATGCTGGGGCTGGCATTGCTCTGAATGACTGCTTTGTCAAGCTCATTTTCTGGTATGACAATGAGTTTGGCTACAGCAGCAGGGTGGTGGACCTCATGGTCCACATGGCCTCCAAGGAATAACTGCCCTCCCCACCACAGCCCAGAGAGACCAGAGGGATGCAGAGGCCATGTTGTAGAATTCACTGCCCTACTCAACCCCAACACTAAGAATCTCCCCCTCAGAGCTTCCATCCCAGCGCCCCCAGAAGGGGAGGGGCCTCGGAAGCCCTGGCTCACTGCCATTGCACAGCATCAATAAAGCCTACTGCACCCCCAAAACAAGCAAACAACCCCCCCAAAAAATACAAACTTTAATGACAGATTTGGAATTAGGTGTAATCAAGTGTTAAAGTGTTATTAATAAGCTTTGTTTTTTGAGCCCAAATATTTAGCAGAAAATTCAGCTGGAGTGCATTGACCACAAAATATGGCAGCATTCTCAGAAGACAGCAATACCTTAAAAGAAAGAAAATATTTATTATGATATGAGACTTTGAAATAGAATAATCCTGAATGTCCAGTAGCTCTTATGGACCTCCTCTGTTAAATTACCCATACCTATCCCTGAAGTTCACTTTGTCATGTCTTGATGTTTTCTTTTTTAAATTTTCACTATAAATTTTAAATAGTAGGAATTCATGTTTTATCATTTGATATGCTGTGTATTCCATCTATGCACCATTTCCAGTACTGCATTCTAATCCATCTTACGCATGTCTTGCCGATTTAATTCTACTAAAGTGCATTATTGTAATGCAGATTTTGAGTGTAAGCATTGCGCACATACACAAAATTGCTGAAACTTTTTCAACAGATAAAATGTTCTTTGTGCATGCGTGTATCTGTGATCCAAAATTATGAGATCTCAGCTTTTTGGACAACTGCATATGCAGTGGCAACCTACTGCAATTTTCAATTAGCCTCATCAAAAGACTGCCAAATAATTCATATGCCCATGGTTATAAAACTGGGTACACACAATCACTAACCAAAGTGACATGCATTTATACAGGTAACATCTTGGCTTATTTCTTAGTGTCAGTAAATATATTTATGCAACTCTTGCTGATATATCTGAATGTATTTGTGAGAATTATGTTCACCAAGAATCTTGTCAAACATTTCTAATTCCAGCATTCTGGAGGTTGAGACAAAAGGAAGATTGAAGTCAACTTGGACTTTATAGCAAATTCAAGGTCACCTTTGACTACATCATGAGACTTTGTCTCAAAAAACCTAAGACAGACAGACAGACAGATAGACAGACGGAGTTGGAAATGTAGCTCAGTGGTAGCATTTCCTAGTATATGTGAGGCTTTGGATTCAACCCCCAGTACTGCCACGGAGGGAAAAAAAAAAAAAAAAAAAAACACCTTACCTTTGCCTATTTTTATTGTATAAAGTGGCCTTAGAGGATTTCAATTATATTATATTTCTTGGGTAAATCCTTTTTAAAAATGAAAATAAACGTCTTTTAAAGAACATTTTAATTATTTTTTTAAACATATTTTGATCTTTCAAGATTTTAGACTTCAGGGATTTTGATCATTCATAACTTCAAAACTTCACATGGCACTTAAGCTTCTATTTTTCAGAAATATGGCCTAAATCCATTCACATGATTATTATTATTTATTATTATTATATTATTATTATTATTATTATTATTTGTTGTTGTTGTTGTTTGGCAGAATCTGGGATTGAACTCAGGCTCTTGCACTTACTAGGCAATCACTTATTCTACTGAGCCATCTCCCTGGCCCCCCCTGTGGTTTGTTTTTTCATCATGATACACATGGTACCGGATATTTTATGCCAGGAGCATTTTTTTTTTTTTTTTCGGAACAAGGGATTGAACTCAAGCCCTTGTGCTTGCCAGGGAAGAGCTTATTCTACGGAGCCATCTTCCCAGCCCCAGAAGCAACTCTTATCTCCTTAGAATGCTGAGGCCTGAGGAATGTGGGTGAGCTCCACATCCGGGGCTTTAACGTAAGACATGGCGCTGAATCTCAAGAATGACTACATTTATTGTGTGGCTGGTACATTGTGTCTCACATCTGTCAGCTTCTTAGCAGGTTGGGATCACCTCCATTAGCCATGAGCAATGGGAGACCTGAAAGAACTGAGTGGGTTCAAAGGTCCTAAGCCAGTGTGCAGGTGAGTTCTGGGCTCTTTCCTGGTGTAGACATCGCTTACAGGCTGTGACTTTATGCCCAGCCTGCTCAAGCAGCCACCTCCTCTTCCTTTGACAGAATCAACAGAGGAGCATCTTCCAGATGGGGCAGGTGGGCTTGGGGTGAGGGATCCTCCTGAACCCTGTTTCTCAGCATCAGGCTCATATAGTTCCTGTCCTGGGGAAGAGTATGCCATCAGAATGTGAAGATGTGAGGGTGTTTGAATTTACCCTCAAACGCCCTAGGAAACCCAGAGGATTCGATACCTTCCTCATTCTCTTCTCTGTGCCAGTTTCACCCACAATTTATCCCCCCGCCCAACCTCACTATATCCTGTGACTTCAGTAATGCCAAACCCACCACGGCTTCCACAGTCAATCCCTCAGCTGCACCATCCCGAAACGGAAATTCCATCTCTGGAAAAAGTAAATCCCTTCTCTCCTCCACTGCCCTAAGGACAGACCCGGTCTCTGAAGCCACTCTTGGGGCATAAGCCGGGGCAAACCGAACACAGCTTCCTGAAACATTCTACGTTGTTCCCGTTCTATCTTACATTCTAAGCAGTTCCAATTCAGGGCTTGCCAGCTCTTCAGACCTCCCTGAACTCCTGCTGAACCTGGACTGTGACGTAGGCTTGTATTTACACGTCTGATCTGAGTCTGGGCTGGCCTCACCCTTCAGCCCCGCCCCGGAGTGAGGACCAACGTCCCGCTAGCGTTTGCTTCCCGGCTAGAGCCCCACCCTGATTGGTGCCTGGGCCTTCTGCAGCAAGCTCCGCCCTTACACACCTTGGTTCCGCCTTGGTCCCCGCTGGGATTGGTCCTGGCAGCCCCGCCCAGCCTGTATTGGTCACTGTGGGTGTCCCTCTGCACCACGTGGGCGTCAGGACTAGGAAGAGAGAGTTTCAGCAATGGCTGGGATCCGGAAATTGGGGCTGGCAGAGGCTTTAGCGCTGGGGCCTGGCTGGCGGCATGCCTGTCACGCACTGCTCTATGCACCCGACCCGGGGATGCTCTTCGGCCGCATCCCGCTGCGGTACGCAGTGCTGGTGAGGAGAGGGCGCTCCGGGCCACTACGCACCCTGGGCTTAAGCTCATCCTGGGTCTCACTGCCTGGGCAACCAGCCAACCCCTTCTTCCTCCCCCACAGATGCAGATGCGCTTTGATGGGCGCCTGGGCTTCCCAGGCGGCTTCGTGGACTCTCAGGACAGCAGCCTGGAGGACGGACTCAACCGTGAATTGCGCGAGGAGCTAGGGGAGGCAGCGTCCGCCTTCAGCGTGGAGCGCGCAGAATACCGCAGCTCACATGCAGGGGCCAGGCCGCGCGTGGTAACGCACTTTTATGCGAAGCAACTGACGCTGGAGCAGCTGGAGGCAGTGGAAGCCGGAGCACCAAGAGCCAAGGACCATGGGCTGGAGGTGGGGCCAGCCAGGAACCCACCCCATACCCAGGCTCTCATTTACCGCATGGGTTCCCTCCCCAGGGAAACCTCCCTAGCTAGGTTCCTTAGAAAGAGGATGTAGCCCCCCAGACCTTGAAGTCTTCCCCAGTTTCCAGGAGTAGTTGGGATCTTGGTCATGTTCTGTCTGGACAGTAGTGCCCACCTGGTCTCCCTGGGAAGTCCTCTCCTCCCTACTGAACTGGCCCCAGAGATGTTTCTAGGACACACCACCCTAGGCTCTCCACTTTTCCATATTGATAATGTCAGAGTGGCCAGGCATGAAAATCTATCCCCTTATTTTAGGCCCCTATTTATCTTAAGTAGAAATTACAGCCTAATTCTTTATGATCAGAGAAATAGGGGAACATTGTGTATGGAAATGGTTTTCAAACTTTGGCAGGTAATGGAATCATGGGCAGAGGGTGTATTAAGGAGAGAGTACGGTGCTGTCTTTGGTAGCTCATGTGCTGAAATGATTGAGTACGGGCATCTGCTGGTTGGGGAACAGAGCGGGAAGAGCCTGAGAATTTCCATTTACAGTGAGTTCCCAAGTGGTTCTGCTACCGCCCTGGTGAGCTCCGCATTTCAAAACCAGAGTTCGAGAGCCCTTTCAGTACCCTGGAGGCAGGAGCCACTAGAGGTTCAGGGAGTGTTGTGGGTCGTTTCACTCCATAGGGAATTACCCACCAAACTTCTCCAGAATATGAGTTTTGGGCCCACTACACTTCATCTCCCTATTGTGGAAGCTTTGAGAGGAGTTAAGTCCTTTAGATCCTTTGCAGAACAGATTGCAGTAACATGGGGAGCTAGTTGGCATCCTAATGCCCCCTGTCTCCTTCCCTTCACAGGTGCTGGGCCTGGTGCGGGTACCCCTGTACACCTTGCGGGATGGTGTGGGAGGCCTTCCTGCCTTCCTGGAAAATTCCTTTATTGGCGCTGCCCGGGAGCAGCTACTGGAAGCCCTGCAGGACTTGGGACTCCTAGAATCTGGATCTGTCCCGGGCCTTAAGACTCCAGTTCATCAGTAAAGGCAGAACCTGAGATCAGGACCTTGGTAGAGGGCTGAAGAAGAAGGGGTGTCTCTTCTGGGCCTGAGAGAGGACAGGTGATGCATTAAAAGAGGGAGATGTGAGTACAATGTTTTGAGCAGAGGGCTCTCCCAAATGCAATGGGCAGAGATCCACAGCTCACCCAAGGGGCCCTTACAGTCTCATTCAGCTCTCTCCCTATGCATATGTGCCCAGTGTGGAACCCCCATGCGTGCACATGTCCAGTTAGGACCACACAGGGTTTGACATGCCACTACCCCAGCATGTCTAACTAGGAAGTGGCAGTTGAGCCTGCCTTGCCACCATCCCTTCTCCTTCCTGGGCAATGGAGCGTCTCTTTCCCCTGTCCTCCATGGCTAGTCTCCAGGGTCTGACGCAGTCCATGCTGGTTGGGAAGACTAGTGTGAGGGTCCTCTGTGCCCTGGGAATGCTCCCACCCTTATCTGAAACTGTGACAGAGCCCTTCAACACCCCAGAGCAAGGGGTGGACAAACAGCTCTTAAAGGACCGGAGGATAAATGTTCTAAGTCATGTGTGCCATGTGTTTGCAATTTTGATGTAGAAGGGAAAGTAAGATTAATATTAATTGGATACCTGTTTACTTGTTAAGTGTTTACATGGAAATAAATATTAAACTGATACAGTTCTAGTTTGATATTTTTAACTGTAATTGGTGCAGTCCGGAGGAACTTTTTAAAGAACAGTTAAGCAAAAGGAAAACAAGTAGCTAGCTAGTGAGGAATATAGAAGAGAAGCATGTTTGAAGGCTCAGGGATGCGAAGCACATTAGAAAAAAAAAAAAAAAAATGACATTGGAAGTAGCAAAGATACTATATTTTGAGACTTTGTAGATCAAGCCTGGCATGGCCTTGCATACCTGTAGTTCCAGCACTCAGGAGGCTGAGGCAGGAGGTCACTTGAGTTTGAGGCCAGCCTGGCCTACAAAGTAAGTTTCAAGCCACCCTGAACTGCATAGTGAAATCCTGTCTCAAAAAGACAAAGATTTTGTAGATTAAAATTTTTCATGGGCCTACTGAGTAACTGTTCATTGTAACTCTGATGCTGGTCCTGTGAAAAGTTCAAATGTCACTGGGCTGGGACATGAGGCCTGTCTGGAGAAGCCAATATGCCAGGTCTGGTACCTTGATAAGATGACTGGATGGCTGGGCTGGACTGAGAAGTTCTCAGATTGGGGTTGTAGGACATTCAAAGTCCTATATAAGAAACATTGTGGGAGACCAAGGTGCAAACAGAGGGTTGTGATTGGGAATCAGAAATTCTAATGTAATGGTTGTCACACTGTTGGCCAAGAAAGTCATTTAAGGCCATCCAAGACTCAAGGATAGGAGAGACTTCTATTTCTTCATAGTAGGGCGGAGAACTGGCAAACGTTTGTACCCAAATGCAATGAACATAGGCTAGAAATGGGAAAGGCCAATCTAAAAAGACCTCAGTAAACAAGGAGTGCTAAAGCTGGAGAGTCAGGTGGGAACTGATGGTACAGGGCTTTCAAGCATTGTGAAAGTTTTATAGGAGTCGCTGCTCCTGGTGTTGGGTGGAACACAGGCTGCAAGGGTATCAAGGGAAAAGAGGAGAAAGGAGAAGTTGCCTCAGTAGTTCCTGTGAGAGAAAGTGGTGACCTGGCCCAGGATGGGAACAGTGGAGATGAACAGAGGGGAACACTGGAGAGGGCATGGTGATGTCACTGTCCTGCTGATGGGCTGGTGGTGGGAGGAGAGGTATGAGGAGGAGCATTCTTGGATGATTTTTAAATCTGTGGTATAAGATGTGATGGGTAAAGCGAAGCTTGATGGATGGGAGAACAAAATTTGAAGGGGACAGGTTCAAGGCTGATATTCAGGACGTGACAGATTTGTGACTGATGTACATAAAAGCTCTGCCACAAGGTTTCCATGACAGAAAAGAGAAGGGAATCAAATGGAGCTCCAAGGAAGTCATCACAAGAGTGTGGGGGTAGGCAGAGAAAACCAGGAATAGAGAGGAAGCCTATGTAAAAATGGGAACAGTGCTCAGTGCTTGTGAGAATTTGAATAAGAAAGTATAGGATGGTCCATTGCCTTTTTAGCTTTGGATGACTGGTGGGGATGAATGGCAGGCTGGACTTGAGCAAATGGGTATAGGAGGGGAGATAGGGTAGGAAATTGGTCCTTAAAGGACCACGATGTGACCAAAGGAGAAGGCCTTGGGGCCAAGAGCAGTGTGTCAAGTGGGAGGTAACAGTACATGTACATGTACACACAGCCATCACAGTGGAGAATGGAAAGGGACGGGGATGTGGGGAAAATCATTGAGGGGTACATAGTCTGTAAAAAGGAGAACTGGAGCATCTAATATGAGGCAAGGAGATAGTCCTGCAGCGCAGTGTCTCAGTTACTTTTCTCTCATTGCTGAGACAAAATACTCAACACCAAAAATTAAGAAAGGAAAGATTTATTTAGCTCACAGTGGAACTTTCAGGCCATACACTACTGGCTTCAAGACAGAGTGGGCACATGGCAGAGGGCAGCCTTGCATGGCAATGGATAATGCAAAACAGAAAAAACAAATGGGGAGTGTAGCAGCCACAATGCCAACAGAAAGCAAGTCTGTCTCCTTTATGTTGCATTCTGCATATCCGCCCCAGGCTAGGTATAGCACACACATAATTCCAGAAGCACTCACACCCATAATACCAGCACTGGATCATGAGTTAATCAAAAACTAAAACCCTGTCCCATAACTGCATGAGGTTTGGGGGGACAAATAGACACAAACTATAACATTCTGCCCATGGGCCCCCAAAGACTCATGCACATCCCTTTATGCAAAAGCCATTCTAGTCCATCTCTGTGAGTTGCCAAAATTCTAACAGTTTAAGCACTGCTGAAAAGTCCAAGTCCCAAGTCTCCTCTGAGATCTAAGGCAAACTCTTAGCTGTGAGCCCCTGTACAAATGAAAAGTTAAACACTTGCAGCATTTCAGTGGCACTAGATAAACATTACCATTTCAAAAGGTACACACAGCAGGATACCAAGCACTGGGACCAAAGCAAGTCCAAAATCCAGAAGGGCAAACATTAAGTCCTGTAGTTCCATGTGGAACATCTAAAGCAATCTGTGACAAATTGTGAGCTCCATGTGGCTCCACACCTATGGCACTTCTGGTGGTTGTAGCCTCCCTGGCTTCTCTCTTAGGCCAGCTTTGCTTCCTCCTTGCAGTTTCCCTTAGATGATCCATGTTCCTGGCTTTCCCAAACTTCTGGGGTTTCTACTACGCATTAAGCTTTTCACTCTACTTCACACACTGTCCTCTCAGGGGCACACTGCCTAGATTCCCAGGCCTTCTGAAATTGAGATGGAGGCCTTGTTAACCTCAGAACTCTTGCATTCTTCCTGTGTCTAAAGCCAACACCATGTAAATGATGACAAAATCTGCTGCCAATGGAGTAATAGCCAGGCTTTCATCTCACTTGACTGTAGGGATCGAGTACCTGGATCACTGAGCATTCTGCACCTGATTCTGAGGGACAAATTCTGTATGCCAGTGCCACTCTGGAACATGGTGTGGCCATGGCCACCATTCTGGAACATGATGCTCTGTAGCTTTCTCTCCAAGGCAATGTCCATTACCCTTGCACTTCTGAGACTGTCAAGGACAGAAACATGCCTTCTGTGATGCCCTCAGGTTGGCTTTTCCATTCTCTTGTTTCTTCTTGGCAATGGAGATCATCTCAGTGCTATCTTTGCAGGCCGCAGCTTTATTTATGCTTCCTTTCTGGTCAAACTCACATTTTAAAACATCCTTCTGGGCTCCTTGCTTTTGATTCTCAACATATAACTAAATAAACGCCCTCAACAATAGCCATGCCACTGCTTCAACGTTCAACTGCCTTGAAATTTCATTTTCAAGATTAAGCAGTCCACCATGCTTAATCTCAGTCTCAGGCAAAATCTCTGGACATGAGGAAAATATAGACAAACTTTCTGCCAAGCCAGAATACACATCATCTCAAGTCCAGCAACCAGTGCAATCCTTCATCCCAGCAGAAACCTCCTTAACCTGATCTGTGCAGGTAGGAGTTTTATGAGCATTCTGGTCTTCCAAGGTTTGAACAGAATCTTCCATACAGAACAGGCAAGACTGTTCCAGTGCTTCTATTGTAGGCAGCATCTCTGAACCTTTCCTATCTCTTCCCATAAGCCAGTCCTCAAAACTTGTAATCCACATGGTCAGGTAGTTATAGCAACAATCCCAGTTGTCAGTACCAAATTCTGTTTTAGTTAACTTTCTCTTATTGCTGGGACAAAATACATGACATGCAAAATTAAGGAAGGAAAGACATTTAGCTCAGCTAGTGGAGCTTTCAGGCCATACACAGCTGGCTCCAAGGCAGAGTGACATGTGGCAGAGAGCAGCAGTTCATAGCTGCAGAAAACAGCAAAATGCAAAAGCAAATGGGAAGCATAGTGGCAGCAATGCCAACAGAGAGCAAGTCTGTCTCCCTTATGTTGAATTCTGACTATCTGCCCCCAGCTGGGTGTAGCACTCACAACTATAATCTTAGCAGCACTCACAGCCATCATCCCAGTAACACTCACAGCCATAATCCCAGCACTGGATCAAGAATTAATCACAAAGTCTAGAAGTCCAACCCATGACTGCATGAGGCTTTTGGGGGACAACTAGACACAGACTATAACACACAGGAAGAGAGAGTGAGGCAGGTGTTCAGGATTAAGATGGTGAAATGAATGATAGGATGAAGGAGTTTCTGTCTTCTTGGCTGGATGAGATCATCTACTGATAGGGATGAAGTTCTCATTCCCATTGCAAGCTGATGAAGCAGTGGAATGGCATGGCAAGTTTTCCCAGCTCAATGGAGAGTAAGAATCTAGTCATTCATCTTTCTGTGTGTGTGTTTGTGTGTGTGTGTGTGTGTGTGTGTGTGTGTGTGTGTGTGCGCGCGCATGCACTCATGTTTGAGAGTGGGAGAGATAGAGACAGAGAGTGTGGGGGGAGCATTTTTCCTTCACTGGTGTTCAAAGACTTAGTTGGAGACACTGCAGAGGTGGAGAATTCACTGGACTATAAGGCAAGGAGAGGTGACAGCACAGAAATTAAACCAGTGGACTGTGGATTCTAAGGTTTAATATTTCTGGGATGGGAAATAAGATGACAGTTGAGTTTGGTGTGATTAGCAAATTAGAGGTCTTGATGAGGTGGCAGTCCAACATCATGGCAAGTTGGTGAGGAAGGGAAGAGGTCTATCTGAACCACAGAAGAAACTGTTGAGTATTGAGAGGTGGAGCAATACAAGGAGAATAAGGTCCAAGGCAGGAGGGAAGTAGTTGATGAGAGCCAGGGGAGGAGCTGGGAAGGGATGAGCTCTGGGAAGCCAGGATCATAGGACAGTGTGAGTTTGCAAGTGGCTGCTGAGGCTGGAGACCAGCAGGTGTTGGGGACATGGTGGGAACCAGGTAGGCACATCCTCTGTGATGAGGAGGAGGCATCACAATGCCAGTGGCTCCTGTGAGGAGGGAAAAGGAGGGAAAGGTGGACATGTCAGGACATAACCTCCCTGAGAGAGGGCCTGGCAGAACAGAGGCTGGGTAGCATTGTATTGCCATGCAGAGTTCTATGCACCCCACAGCGGCTCCTGGCCT